TAGGGCTGCTGAGGAAGTGAGCCGCCAGCCTTCCCAAAGGAGCCACAGCCTTGCACAGAGCCCCAGCGCCTAGCCAGGCGGCCGGGGGTTCTCGGGACACAGTTATGAGAAAAGCTGCATGGAGCCCAGGCCTCCGTGACGGGACAGGGTCCTTGCAGGCTGCTGTTGGCAGGAAGGGACTGACTCAAGGAGATGGGAAAGCTCACAGCAGCCCTGTGGGGCCAGAGAACCAGGCGTGGATGCTGCCCCAGAGAACACGCAGCTGGAGCCACGTCCGTCCACACCGTGGCTGGTCTGGCAGCAACGCCCCACCACGGTCTCCCACTGCTTCTCACTGGTCAGGCCAGGAACGGTGTCAGAGCTCCACCAAGGCCACCCCCAGAAGACGCTGAAGGACCCAATCACCCACACCCTGGCCAGAAGGGCCTCCCCTGCCCACCGAGGCCTCCTCCTCTCCCCATCGTACTGGACTCTATGCAAGCCTCTGACAGGCCGAGCCAGGCCACATGGCCGCACCTGAGCTGCAAGGGAGCCTGGGAAATGTAGTTCTGGGACTTCACCTGGAGAAGGAGGGCTCTCTGTGCAGAACGACCAGCTCATCGAAAGGTGCCGGGCAGCTGCACACAGCAGGTGCCCCCTCAGCCCCTCCTCAGCCCCTCCGCAAGGTGCCTCTTCCCAGCAGGCGCTGAATGCCAGGCTCTCCGCTGTCACTCAGGTTTCTGTGTCACCACCCCGTCCACAGATTAGCACCAGGTCCTCCAACAGCAGCGGGGTCCTGGCTACCCTCAGTCCCGCCAAGTCTGGCGACTGGCCCCGCCTTGGGTGACTCTCCCTGTACCAGGAGGCACCACCAGTTTAGAGCTGAATCCACTCCAGCCGACGTGGGAGAAAGGGCTTGACGAGAGGACGCTGCGCCATTTCTGGGACGTCCCCCAGCAGCCAGGAGGAGCGCCCGTCCACCTGCGGGCCTGTCCTAGCACCTACAGCCTCCCTCGCCACCAGGCGGACGGCAGGGCGGTCTCCCTGGGCGCACCCGCCACCTCAGACTGCTCCCTTCTGCACCCAGGACTGTGCGTGGTGTCCCCAGCTCTGCGAAATGGCATTCACACCAGAGAGGTCGGCTGTTCAGAGCTGCACAGAGAGGAAACAAAGGGCCCCCGCGGGGGTCCAGGGGGTTCAGATCGCCCCAACCGCTGACACCCCGAAGGGCTCCCCTTAGAGGCGCTCCCCTGTGGAGTGAGCACGTGAGTTACTCAGGCCCTCCCTGCGGGTGGGGGGGCTCCATTTCCGGGGCCTCTGCTGCCCGCCCCCACCCCGTGGCACAGATGTTTCCTCCGGGCTCAGCCCACCCGGTCCGCCAGGACGGACGCCGCAATGGCTAACTGGACACAGATGGCGAGGCGCCTGCGGAGCACCGGGGACAATCACCGTGCTAGGAGGCGTGGCGTCGGCCGCGCTCCGGTCTAATCCAAGAAAAATGGGTTTGACTTTGGGTGATCGCCCGCCAGGTCCAAGTGGGTCGTAAGGGCCGCTGATGGTTCTTCTGTGGCGGCCCAATTGCAGCCCACGCCTCTCCAGTTACCCCCTTGGAATTTTCTGAGCGCGGGTCAGAGCCCAGCGGTCAGACGGGGGATTTACGCCCTGAGTCGTGAGCGGGTGGGCTGCACACCCGGAACGACGCCGGGAGAGGCAGCCCCTCCGGGAAAGATGTCTCGGGGCAGGAGTGGCAGCCGCAGACTCCCGGGGGGCTGACGGGTCCCTCTTCTTGCTTCAGATCCCCTTGGGATCCCACGAGCACAAAGCTGGTCCAGCATCCACGGGCAACGCCGTAGGGACAGCGGGATCGCAGGGCCCCAC